TTTCAAACCTTATAGAACCTTTCAAACCTTATAGAACCTTTCAAACCTTAAAGAACCTTTCAAACTTTATATAACATTTTAAACCTTATAGAACCTTTCAAACCTTATAGAACATTTCTAACCTTATAGAATCTTTCAAACCTTATAGAACCTTTAAAACCTTAAAGAACCTTTCAAACATTATAGAACCTTTCAAAAGCCGTCCTTGCTTTCACATGCCAATAGCTGGGTTGGTTTGATTGTTGAGGTTGATGGTGTTGGTGGGGTTGTAATGTTAGTGGGGCTGGAAGGGTTGATAATGTTAGCAGTGTTTAAAGGGGTGGTGGTGATGGTAGGGATTATGGTGTTTATGATGATGGTAAGGTTGGTTGTGTTGGGGGCTGGGTGAGGTTAGTGAGATGTACGCATTTAAACAATTATATAAATATTTGCACTGGAAACTGCAAAAAGAATCATGTTTATAAGGAAAACATCTGGGTTTTTTCGAGCATCCCCCCCCCCCCCGGCTAGTATAGTGTCAACCAGCTCTATCTGCTGGGCGGTGCCAGCTAGTACATTGGCAACCAGCTCTATCTGCTGGGCTTGACGGCTAGTTCATTGGCAACCAGCTCTATCTGATGGGCTGTGCCTGCTAGTACATTGGCAACCAGCTCTATCTGCTGGGCGGTGCCGGCTAGTACATTGGCAACCAGCTCCATCTGCTGGGCGGTGCTGGCTAGTACATTGGCAACCAGCTCTATCTGCTGGGCGGTGCCAGCTAGTACATTGGTAACCAGCTCCATCTGCTGGGCGGTGCCGGCTAGTACATTGGTAACCATCTAGGTCCATCTGCTGGGCGGTGCCAGCTAGTACATTGGTAACCATCTAGGTCCATCTGATGGGCTGTGCCATATCCCATTCTCTGGCTGTGGGAATCGCACGCCTTCCCTGGCATACCCCGCCACTATCAGTACAGGACACAAATTACCGATGCACTTCTGTTTCCGAGGCTTTAAAAGCGTAAGCTTAAGCCCCAACGCCTACCCAACCATTCGAATGTGTGACAGTAACAACAGCCACCTAGCCAACCATTCGAATGTGTGACAGTAACAACAGCCACCTAGCCAACCATTCGAATGTGTGACAGTAACAACAGCCACCTAGCCAACCATTCGAATGTGTGACAGTAACAACAGCAACTTAGCCAACCATTGAAATGTGTGACAGTAACAACAGCCACCTAGCCAATCATTCAAATGTGTGACAGTAACAACAGCCACCAAGCCAACCATTCGAATGTGTGACAGTAACAACAGCCATCTAGCCAACCATTCGAATGTGTGACAGTAACAACAGCAACTTAGCCAACCATTGAAATGTGTGACAGTAGCAACAGCCACCTATTCAATCATTCAAGTGAGTGACAGTAGCAACAGCCCCCTAGTCAACCATTCAAGTGTGTGACCGTAACAACAGCCCCCTAGCCAACCATTCAAATGTGTGACAGTAACAACAGCAACTTAGCCAACCATTGAAATGTGTGACAGTAGCAACAGCCACCTATTCAATCATTCAAGTGAGTGACAGTAGCAACAGCCCCCTAGTCAACCATTCAAGTGTGTGACCGTAACAACAGCCCCCTAGCCAACCATTCAAATGTGTGAAAGTAACAACAGCCACCTAGTCAACCAATCATATGTGTGACATTAACAATAGCCACCTAGTCAACCATTCAAGCGTGTGAAAGTAACAACAGCCACCTAGTCAACCAATCATATGTGTGACATTAACAATAGCCACCTAGTCAACCATTCAAGCGTGTGAAAGTAACAACAGCCACCTAGTCAACCAATCATATGTGTGACATTAACAATAGCCACCTAGTCAACCATTCAAGCGTGTGAAAGTAACAACAGCCACCTAGTCAACCATTCAAGCGTGTGAAAGTAACAGTTGGATAAGCTTTCTACACTTATATAAAAATAAGATAGAATGGTTTGTAACTTAATTATTTTTTTTTTAATTGACCATTGACATAAAAATTAATGAAACATTCCCTGCACTCATAAAGCTACACATAGATGTCTATTCTCCTAATCCCTATAGCTATACATAAACGAGGCATCCGAACCCTCTTCATAGCTATAAATTGATATCTACTGTAAAGCTTCTCTGTAACTATAAATAGGGATGTCTTGTCTAAACCTTCTCTGCAGCTATATATTATAGATGTTGCTTTGATGAACTCTCTCTGTAAAACTTGCATTTAAAGAATTTCAAATGAGTGTTGTACGTTGCTTATACATCGCTACCCAGGGGGTACTGCCTTTTGGGTTTCATATACTGTATGACCACGAACATGAGAAACAGCAGGATTCCGAGCGTGATACTGGTGATCACTATCGCCTGGTTCAAAGCGTCTGCACTTGAAAATAGCTCACTTTGGAGAAGATCTCGGAACGCCCTTTCGCATCTTAAGGTTTCGAAGACAGAATCGTTCATCGTGATTCGAAACGGCATTAAGTTCCACACGATCCCTGAATAATGCGTGCATCTTCCCCCGGTGGTTGTGGGCTTCAACGCCTGGCAGCGTTCCCGCATTTGAGGGTTGGTGGTGTAGATGCTCTCTGTCACCTTGCTGCACGTGATGACCATGTCCGACTTGATGAAAATGGTCATGCAGTTTCGCACGTGAGCGGGGCCCTGATCGACAGACCCCGTCAGGTGGACAGATAGGATTCTGTAGGTTTTGAAGTCCTCAAGTCGCTCCCCGTACAGGGTGCAGTCGGTTGAGGGCTCTTTACAAAGACATGTTAGAAATCTGAGAAATATAAGCAGAAGCAAAACCTGAACCGGAAATTTTTTTATGAAACGAAATAACCCTCAACTTTTTTATAATGCTAAACGAAAAATAACTAGAAAAAAGGAGGTGGGGGTGGGGGTGTAGAAAAGCTATTGGTTAGTGTACATTACCATCAATCGCTTTGTTCACAAGTGCAAAGTATTCAGGATGGAAAGAAAAGATATACATTACTTTAAAATACCTTTCATGGCTTTGTGGGTGCCATTTTAATTTTGTTTACTGACACTGCTAGCGGCGCGACGGGACATAATTCAAAGTGTCTTTTAAAAATTTAAATACAGCTCTGCAGTAATACCAATGAAACACAGCTTTACCAGCACGTATCACCAATCAAGCACAGCTTTACCGGCACGTATCACCAATCAAGCACAGCTTTACCGGCACGTATCACCAATCAAGCACAGCTTTACCGGCACGTATCACCAATCAAGCACAGCTTTACCGGCACGTATCACCAATCAAGCACATCTTTACCGGCACGTATCACCAATCAAGCACAGCTTCACCTGCACGTATCACCAATCAAGCACAGCTTTACCGGCACGTATCACCAACCAAGCACAGCTTTACCGGCACGTATCACCAACCAAGCACAGCTTTACCGGCACGTATCACCAATCACGCACAGCTTTACCGGCACGTATCACCAACCAAGCACAGCTTTACCGCCACGTATCACCAATCAAGCACAGCTTTACCGGCACGTATCACCAATCAAGCACAGCTTTACCTGCACGTATCACCAATCACGCACAGCTTTACCTGCACGTATCACCAACCAAGCACAGCTTTACCGGCACGTATCACCAACCAAGCACAGCTTTACCGGCACGTATCACCAACCAAGCACAGCTTTACCGGCACGTATCACCAATCAAGCACAGCTTTACCGGCACGTATCTCCAATCAAGCATAGCTTTACCGGCACGTATCACCAATCAAGCATAGCTTTACCTTTTACCAGAATATATCACTCAATAAATCAAACCGCGCTAGCAGCATATAGACTGGCGGTGTTAAGAACTCACTGGTCAGCGATGACTTGTTCCAGTTCCATGACGATGTTGGCCACTTCAAACGTGAGAGGAATCGTTTCACAGAATGTCAAGGTCAAGGTTGCCATGGTCATCACTAAACTGAAAAAAATCTCTGATTTCATGTTTGGGCCGGGCTAGTCTTAATCATGGCTTTTTTTTTCTTTTTTCTTGCCGGACCTGAAATGTGTACAATAAAAACATTCCAATTTTATTTTTAAAAATAATAATTTTAAAATATGTATAAATGAATGTCTACATTTTTATTAAGGCTTATTAAGTTGAACAGAGTTAAAAGGCGCCTACCGCCGATAAAGCCCTTAACCAGCAAATGATAATACAGGATGCAGTACAAAACTAGCAGTGCTGATTAACACGCGCGTCTTGAACGCGCACCATCGCCTGGCAACTGGTCACGCGGTCACACCTCCAGCTGCCAAGTGATCCTAGAAGTGTAAACGAGTTTACGTTGTGCAGTTATCCTGGAAATGCATCTCTGTCAACATGGAAATGCATCTCTGTCAACATGGAAATGCATCTCTGTCAACATGGAAATGCATCTCTGTCAACATGGAAAGGCATCTCTGTCAACATGGAAATGCATCTCTGTCAACATGGAAATGCATCTCTGTCAACATGGAAATGCATCTCTGTCAACATGGAAATGCATCTCTGTCAACATGCGGGGGAAATCTGATCGAATTAGTAAGTTAATGTGACTTTCTTGGGCAATCACGCATTCTTTTTAGAAAAAAATAATAATGGATCCTCGTACACGATTTATACAAGACATCATCCTTCGCTATAGATATGGGCTTTGGTGGGAGATTGATCAATGAACTTGAGATTGGCTCAGTTTAGAACACTCGGCCACCCAGCACCCAATGCGTATGGATTACCGGCTTATAAACTGCTGTCAATAATTCAATTATACGTTTGGGTTGGGGGGTGGGGGTGGGCGGCATCCTTATGTCACATTGTGTAGACTTCGTATAGCGAAATCACAAGGCATGGGGATTTTCTCTAGAAGTGAAAGTTGGTTGCCAAGACAGTTCACCGGACCTGGATAACCCCCCCAGGGAACATCATATGTGGGTGACACAGCTTGGAACCAGTAGCGTCGCGAGAGTTGGCGGAATTTTCACTGTGTCATTGTCATACCGACTACGGGACTCCATCTCCTGAGTTTGATTTCAGAGTTGCCTTCTCTCAGATGAGTTGCTATCCAAGGTTAACGATTCCCATCCACCTGGATCGCTGGTGATGTTTTCGCTTGACTTGGCCATTGCTGGGGATTGAAGCTGGGGATTGACTCAGTTTAGACCACAATCCCATCCACCAATCATGACTGCTGGTTACTTGACATAACCACATATGAAATGTGTACATTACAGACCGACCGCATGGAATTATCTGATTTCGCCCGGAACCGAGCCGAAACTTAAAAAAATGAATTTTGGCCGTAAAACCGAAGCCGAAACCAAAAGCTTAGTGAGACTTTCAGCCAAAACCGAAATATTTAGCTATATTCGAAACTCGTTCATGACTACGTTCTTCGTACGTCGAAAATTGATTGGGGGAAAGTATCGATGTTTTAATTATTTTAATTTAAAACATGAGATTATCGTGATTGTTAATAGAAACACATCTAATGAATACGTTGGTTTTTACCATTTGAATTAAAAAGTAGATCATTTAAAGTAGTTACGAATTTTGTTTGTTTTTTTTAAAAAGAAGTATGGTAAGAGAAAATTTTGATTTAGGAAAAGGGGGGGGGGGGCAAAAAATCTTACATGTTAATGTTGACCCTTGGCCCCCCTTTGCTTTTATAATATAATTACAAAGCTACCTGGACATAGGTGGTATCAATCGAAAGCTTAGCCTATGTATTTTTTTTATTGGTATGGCCCACTAAAAGGTCCAGACATCAGCCTTGAAGGAATTGTTTGTTCCAATCAGAGGCGTAGCGAGGGGGGTGCAGGGGGGACAGATGTCCCCTGGCGCCAGGTAGTTAGGGGCGCCAAAATGTGCTTTGATATTATTTTATGGATGAAAATAATGAGTTTGAGAGTTGAAAAAAAGAAAAAGGGGGCACTTTAAAATGGATCTTGTCCCCGGGCGCGAATCTTGTCCCCGGGCGCCAAACGCCCTCGCTACGCCGCTGGTTCCAATAAACCATATAGTTTCGTTGCAACGCGCGTTCTGATTGGTCAACATTTAAATTTTTCATTTATCCGCCATTATCATTAAAAATGTATCTGCTACTTTTATATTTGACCCAGCTTATGCAAAAGTTGAACGAATGTTGAGTTACCAGTTACGTTTAGTATGATAATACAGCCGGCCTACTGCGTAATTATTGTACACAACAACAGAGATACACGCACACTTCGGTGTGTAGGTTTATGATTAAAACCAGGCCTGCACAACTCAAAATGTAAGGTGGGCCGTTATACTTTATAAAAAAAAATCTTGTGTGGGGCGTAATGCTTTATGAAAAACGTGTGCGGGCCGAAAGATAATGGGACAGGGGCAAAAGCTATTAAGAAAATGATAATAAAAAAGGAATGTTTCATTACTTCGCGGGCCGCAAAGTGGGTACTGGCGGGCCACATGCGTCCCGCGGGCCGTATGTTGTGCAGGCCTGATTTAAATGAAAGGCATTTTTTATGCCCAATTAATACAATTACAATACAGTATTCTATTTTTGTTTTTACAAAGCTTTAGTTTTCACTATCCTCTTTCTTTCCATGTGTTGTGTCCATTCACGTGATTAATATGGTGGAATATTTGTATTTCTCCAATAACAATGTTAGCATGATAAGGATGAATTTCAATAAATGAGTGAATTGAATAAGATTTTTAACAAAAATGTAATAATTGGAAATGTTACCATTCCCTATGATTCCCCCCCCCCCCGGGGGCAATATTATTCACCTTTGCCCTATGACAACATCTATGACAATGATAATAATAAATCAAAATGAATGTCACAAATGAAAGAATTGAATAAACCTAGGGTTCCCAAATTTTTTTTTTTTTAATGATAACAAAAATAATAATAAATATTATTCCCTAAGTTCTTTTTTTCACAAAACTATTTACCTTTGCATAAGTCTATTTAATTTTGTGTGTGTGTGGAAATATTGAAGAAGTAGACCATCTTGCAGCTGTGGTCAGTTTTCACGTAGGAGTAGTTATATAACATACGATGACAGCAAGACGTAGAATAATAATGAATATAGGATTGCCAGCCGATAGTCTGACAGAACGACAGTCTGACCTAGACACTGACAGAAAGTCTGACTTTGACTGACATAATGCCAGTCTGACTTAGACTGACAGAATGACTGACTTAGACTGGCAGAACGACAGTCTGGTTTAGACTGACAGAAAGACATTGTGGCTTAGGCTAACAGAAAGACGTCGTAGACTGACAGAACGGTCGGCCACTAATTTACATAAGACTACTGGATATTTAACATAAGGAGTTATGGTATATTTAAATATGGCCACTGACATGTTTCCAAATGGCCTAATGGCATTTGGAACAAGGACTGCTTGCATATTGGCATAGAAACGATCTATTGTACTCTTTCGTCGGAAATAGCTTTATTCTTCTATCATTTAGAAAATCCCAGAAATCGCCTTACTTTAGACTGGTTCATTTTACTGTCTACTTCATATTCAAGATAAGGCGGGCATGATGTTGTTTTTTTCTGCTAGTCTGTTTCGCGACGACATCAATTGCTTTAGTTTACAATAACTAAGCATAGTTCTAAGACGGAAATCCTGAACTGAAGATCTAAAAAACTGAGACGTATCGTTGTTTGCAAATGTTTACAAAACAAAAATTATATATCTAACCTCTCTAAAAAAAATGTCTGGGGGCGTTACGTCACTCAAATTCTTCACATTTCCCGTTGAAACTTTGTAATGTAAACCCATAACTTCCTAGTAGGTCAAACGTTGTGGAATTCCTTTGTCGTGAAGTTTTCCAAATTTCAAGTCAACTCACGGTGAACATCATTTACATTAAATCTAAAACATGACCTAAATCTAAAACATGACATACCGCTCTTGAGAAGTGTTGTATATCCTTATATGCATGAGACATGATAAGATTATTTGATTTATCGAAGTAAAACACTTTTTTTTTTTCAATTTTGTGTGTGTACATTTAAAATATTCAGAAATTCAAATAATAAAATTAACGGTAAACATGAAAATATTATGACATAATTTACGTCTTCGTGAGATGACGTATTTCCTAATGACACTTCATTGAATTGCTTACCAGGCGGATCCTGGAATGGCAGTCATGGCTGCATTTTTCGCAGAACCTTGACCCTAAATTTGACCTACCGTAACACTCCTTTTGTTGCAAGGGCTTCGTTTCGCTCATTCTGCCTATTTGACTCCTTCTGATACTGCTGTTCGCCAGCTGGAATTTTAACTGCAACTGGTAACTAGTCTATCTGATTTTAGTTTATAGTTTTAAAAATACCATTGTGTGGTCCGTCTCAAGGCATCAGGTGAACCATTGTGTGGTCCGTCTCAAGGCACCAGGTGAACCATTGTGTGGTCCGTCTCAAGGCACCAGGTGAACCATTGTGTGGTCCGTCTCAAGGCACCAGGTGAACCATTGTGTGGTCCGTCTCAAGGCACCGGGTGAACCATTGTGTGGTCCGTCTCAAGGCATCAGGTGAACCATTGTGTGGTCCATCTCAAGGAACTAGGCGAACGATTGTGTGGTCCGTCTCAAGGCACAGGTTGAATCATTGTGTGGTCTGATTCTAGCAGGGGAAAAGTACCCGTAAAATGTGTACTCTATTTTTTAATTTCCATGAAAACCACCTAAAGTTCAGTCTTGTCTTGTTTAGAAATGTGACACATCTAGATTTCAATCTTCCTGTGTTGGGGAATGTGACACCTATCTAGGGTTCAATCTTCCTGCGTTGGGGAATGTGACACCTATCTAGAGTTCAATCTTCCTGTGTTGAGGAATGTGACACATATCTAGGGTTCAATCTTCCTGTGTTGGGGAATGTGACACACATCTATAGTTCAGCCTTGCCGTGTTTGGTTTGTAACATATTTTGATGATGTAGCTTTGTTTATAATAAGCAGTGGTTACACGTTTCAGAGTCGTGAGCCACGGGGGGTCGTGTATGATTATGTGTGTCGATAGCCATTAATTTAGAACCATTAGTTTAAACCAGTGGTTCCTAACCCGTGCTCCAAACTGAGCCCTAAGGTTTCTCAGGAGCTCCGCGGCCGGTCTAGGCAATAAAATGATATCATTTACTTGTTATATTATATATAGGGTGGGCCTAGGGCCTAGGGGGCTCCCCATGGACAATGATTCTTAAAAGGCGTTCCAAGAGTCAAAAAAGTTTGGGTGACCACTGGTTTAAGTAATCATGCTAATTTGTTTTTTTAAGAACTCAGTTGTGTACTCTACTCTAATATTCGATGTCATTTATCGTTAATGTTTTGGTAAACGCTTGAGAATTATTTTTTTACTTATCATCTGAGATAAACAAAAGGTTGATGAAAGTAAACATGAAGATGCAACACGCTTCAACAAGAAACCCAACATTTTGTGAATTACAGTTAATCCTTTGAGTACATTAATGCGGGTAACTTTCGTGTCTCGGTTGGGCCAGCCCACAAAGCGTGACCCACATTCTGCACTGACCTCGGTGATTCGCGGTGTGTGTCAATAAAATGGCAACCAGAAAACTAAAAATACAAGAAAAAAGAAGAAAAAAAAATTAATTAACGCTTAATTTTTGTTTAAAGGGTTTAGTATTGTTTCCCTGCATAGTTCCAAAGACGTGAATTAGAGAGTGCATTTGATGATGTAGCTAACCACAAGCACTGCTTATTTTGAAATGAGCGTTAGCTATACTTCACCAACTAACACACCACAGACACCACCAGAATTAGATGTACTTCACCAACTAACACACCACAGACACCACCAGAATTAGATGTACTTCACCAACTAACACACCACAGACACCACCAGAATTAGATGTACTTCACCAACTAACACACCACAGACACCACCAGAATTAGATGTACTTCACCAACTAACACACCACAGACACCACCAGAATTAGATGTACTTCACCAACTAACACACCACAGACACCACCAGAATTAGATGTACTTCACCAACTAACACACCACAGACACCACCAGAATTAGATGTACTTCACCAACTAACAAACCACAGACACCACCAGAATTAGATGTACTTCACCAACTAACACACCACAGACACCACCAGAATTAGATGTACTTCACCAACTAACACACCACAGACACCACCAGAAGAGAGATGCCAGTAATAAATAACGTCAGTTTGAGCAGATACGCGAATAGCCAGTTCTGAAATGATGAGGTAGGATCTGAGTAAAAATGTTAATTCGGGATTAACTGGTGTGTTGACTCTCTATTGCACTTTCTCTTTTTTTTTTTTTTTTTTTTTCGTATAGCTGGCCCACAGACGTGGTCGTGTTTCCTAGCTAAATCCCTAGATAAATCTCCATTGGTATAGCTGGCCCAGAGATGAGGCAGTGTGTCCTAGCTAAATCTCTATATAGATAAGTCTCCAGTACTCCACTGTTATAGCTAACCCAGAGATTAGGCAGTGTGTCCTAGCTAAATCCCTATATAAGTCTCCAGTACTCCACTGGTATAGCTGACCCAGAAATGAGGCAGTGTGTCCTAGCTAAATCCCTAGATAAGTCTCCAGTACTCCACTGGTATAGCTGACACAGAGATGAGGCAGTGTGTCCTAGCTACTTCCCTAGATAAATCTCCATTGGTATAGCTGGCCCAGAGATGAGGCAGTGTGTCCTAGCTAAATCCCTATATAGATAAGTCTCCAGTACTCCACTGGTATAGCTGACCCAGAAATGAGGCAGTGTGTCCTAGCTAAATCCCTAGATAAGTATCCAGTACACCACTGGTATATCTGGCCCAGAGATGAGGCAGTGTGTCCTTGCTAAATCCCTCGATAAGTCTCCACTGGTATAGCTGACCCAAAGACGGGGTAGCAAGTCCTAGCTAAATCCCTAGGTAAGTCTCTATTGGTACAGCTGGCCCAGAGATGAGGCAGTGTGTCCTAGCTAAATCTCTATATAGATAAGTCTCCAGTACTCCACTGTTATAGCTAACCCAGAGATTAGGCAGTGTGTCCTAGCTAAATCCCTATATAAGTCTCCAGTACTCCACTGGTATAGCTGACCCAGAAATGAGGCAGTGTGTCCTAGCTAAATCCCTAGATAAGTCTCCAGTACTCCACTGGTATAGCTGACACAGAGATGAGGCAGTGTGTCCTAGCTACTTCCCTAGATAAATCTCCATTGGTATAGCTGGCCCAGAGATGAGGCAGTGTGTCCTAGCTAAATCCCTATATAGATAAGTCTCCAGTACTCCACTGGTATAGCTGACCCAGAAATGAGGCAGTGTGTCCTAGCTAAATCCCTAGATAAGTATCCAGTACACCACTGGTATATCTGGCCCAGAGATGAGGCAGTGTGTCCTTGCTAAATCCCTCGATAAGTCTCCACTGGTATAGCTGACCCAAAGACGGGGTAGCAAGTCCTAGCTAAATCCCTAGGTAAGTCTCTATTGGTACAGCTGGCCCAGAGATGAGGCAGTGTGTCCCAGTCCTAGCTAAATCCCTAGATAACTCAATCCAATGAATTTTCCAGGCGTCATGCTTAAAACACACATTCTTAACTATGGCCTACATTGTTGTTACACTAACTTAAGAGTAACAAACACCCAGGAAATCGTTCCCTTTGAGCCACTAGCGGCACATTTTCTGGACATTGAGATGTGGCGCTATTTTAAGCCAAATGCCGTGTTTTGTCATGCGGTGGGGCGGCAGAGATAGAGAGAGAAAGAGAGAGGGATAGAGAGAGAGAGTGTGTGTGTGATAGAAATAAACAACAAACATTTGTGTATGGATTAGGGTTAGTTGCGTATGGTTTAATTGAAATCATTTCGGAGCTCAGCATGGCAACACAACAAAACAGACTTGATCTGATACAATTAAAAACTAAATGCTAAAATGGCATGAATGAGACTTTAGACAACATACGTTTCTATTCCCATTTCTAATTTGAAGTATCAGTTGTTTCTTGTTTGTGTATTGCCTACTGAAGGAGACATCTAGCCGATACGTCCAGTTACTTAAACGGTCCTGTCTTTTCTTTTCAAGGCTTAACATGTCTTGTTCCGCTATTCATTTACTTCACACGGCCTCAATACAGTCACTCATATCTTGTACTAAAGGACACCAAAAAAAAAAAAACAGGGGAGTTATCCTCAGTACAGCCATCGCTGAACTTAAGATATCTTCAATAAATTAACTCATGTAGAGCTTCAATGGTCCTAAATGTACACTTAAGAGCCTCCTTTGACTTCCCCGCAAAGATTCTATGGTCCTCAATGTATACACTTCAGATCCTCGAATGTCTTCGCTGCAGAGATTCATAGATCATCGAACACTCACAAAATCGAACGTTCATTCTGACTTAAGAAAACCTGTTCACCTGGTCCGTTCCCACCAAATCCCACTGATATTTAGCCCCGGCTCCTCACAGCGGGCACTGTGAGGGTGATTGGTGGCCAGCTCCAGGCCCCTCTCCTGTCCTAGAAGATATACGGGGGCGCCACTTGACCCCGGGCAAGTGCACGTCGTGTAGACATACTGTGTCCAGCCAGGACTCACTTCCTGCCTATGGGTCCATTCTCCGACGGATATTTTCTTGCTGCATCCGTGGGGATAAGACACGATCAAAGACAGTTTCTCAAAGTTTTCCGTGTTCGGACTCTGCTTAAGAAGATCTTCCTGCAGCCCGTGCAGCCGCTGCCATTTCGATTGTAGCCTATCTACGACCTCCAGCTCGTGCGTGACGCAGCGAAGTGAGCACGTGTCTTCCAGGCAGCTGCCTATAATCTCTACCCCGCTCAGCACGCAGACGGCGCTGCGGTCGTCATCGTCATCGAAAAACAGCTCGCACTCCGCGTGGACGGCTTCCTCTGAATTGAACACAACATGGAGCGCGGTGTGGACCCAAAACTGGCCCCACCGCATGGACGGGGCGGATGACGATCTACACTTAAAACACGGGCACCGTCTGTTGTCTTCCACTGTGAACTTCTGCCCGACCCCGTCGATCCACCCGCTGCCCAGCCGGACGTGACGGCTACCCCTGAAGTTGTAAAACGGGTACGGATCGTGTGTGCCCGGATAGAGCTCCGGCCTGGCGTAGCTCGTGCGTCGTACGAGAACACGCACAGAAAACTCGGCGACTGCCCGCACCAACTCGACGAACCCGTGTTGGCGGTAGGTGGGCGGCAGATGGCGGGCTTGGAACTGATCGACGGCGATGAAGTCGATGTGGTCGGGGTTTTTCGGGCACGTTTTAAGATGGCTGACTAAGTCTCCCTCACTGCCACAGGTGATCTCAGCCTCGTGGTGGCCTGCAGATAACCACAAATTGTAAGGTCTACGTTCAAATGAGATGTTTTGTATATACAAATAAAAATTGTAACAACGTAAATTTCAAAGTGCAAGATATTTATTTTCTTATTCCTATATATGCTAAAGCATTTCCAAAGCGTTCTTAAAATATTTGTGTAATATAAGAAATGTATTATTTTGAGTTAAACATAATGTTTGTAAATTGTTAAACAAAATTTATTTACGAATGCCCTATTATCCGCTTTTATTTAATTTCATTCAAACTCTGCAGCCTGTACACGCCATTGTGTCAACACATCTGCCCTTTATCAACATTAAACCAGCATCAAGTCACCAACACATCTGCCCTTTATCAACATTAAGCAAGCATCAAGTCACCAACACATCTGCCCTTTATCAACATTAAGCAAACATCAAGTCACCAACAAATCTGCCCTTTATCAACATTAAGCAAGCATCAAGTCACCAACACATCTGCCCTTTATCAACATTAAGCAAGCATCAAGTCACCAACACATCTGCCCTTTATCAACATTAAGCAAGCATCAAGTCACCAACACATCTGCCCTTTATCAACATTGAGCAAGCATCAAGTCACCTTGGTCATCCCGAACTTTCTGAGCCCTCTCAAGGGTGGAACATTGACTTTCAAGACCTCCAGAAAAATCTGAAGAATAAAGAAGTAAACAATCTATACTTTTCATTGTCCCACTTTCTATATTACAAGAAAAATTTAAGATATTTTTGTTATTATCATCATTTGTTCCATTTAAACTCTGGGATCAGGTATTTTCCGGCCAGTTTCATCGTATTTGACGTACCTTTAAAAGCGATTATTTTATTGGTTTATGGAGCAACAACTCTTTTCAATGAGGAAGCATTTGTAAATTCTGAATAAAAAGAAAACGCTGTTCCAAGCGATTTGTCTCTTGATTTCAGATTTGACTCAAACGCCCCCAACCCCACATGATCGAATACAGGGAACATAGATAAATATTGGCTCAAACGATTCTAACCCCACATGATCGAGTACAGGGAACATAGATAAATATTGGCTCAAACGATTCCAACCCCACATGATCGAATACATGGAACATAGATAAATATTGGCTCAAACGATTCCAACCCCACATGATCGAATACAGGGAACATAGATATATATTGGCTCAAACGATTCCAACCACACAAGATCAGATCAAGGGAAATTAGATCAGATCTTTCCCACTCAGATCAAGTGAAATAACAGTGTTAGAATGTCTACTACAAAGCAACAACTGGACTCTATACCGGTTTGTAATATAATAGGGAAGCAATGACGTAAGAGTCGTTCGACCAGATCATGGGAGGCAAGGTATCAACAAAGAGTTTGACAACTCCAATGGTCGTCTATTGTGACTATTATATAATAGAATTTGGTTGACTTCTCGTAACATCGCAGTATATTACAAAATCCCAAGTCCCCGTAAAGCTCCAAGTCTAGTAACAGTCGATATGTTTATTGTTAAAGCCCGTGTGTTGACCTACTTTGTACTCCCTACAATCCATGTCATTATTTATTAATATTTGTAAATATATTCAAGGAATGTTCTTTTTCTCCGACTGTGCTGTAGGGTTAATATAAATTTTATTTCTGTCTCTTTGATTATGTATTCTTAATATAAATTTAATATTGTCAAAATGGAAATCGCTTTTCCGTGTATGTAACGGTATACAACGATATTAATAACCTTCGATGATCCTATCTTTAGACCAGGATCACTTGGTCTCGCCATGTCTAGACCTACGATAACCTACAACACAAAATGTACGACAAATAACAAATGAATTAAAAAAAACAACAAAAAAAAAACCAGAAACGGTAACTCACCCTGATTGTTGCTCAGCATCCCTTTTTTTGTGGTTATATTTCTCAAACGAAGTATACTCCAATCAATGCCTTGACAAGTCAATACTGCTACGTAGGCCCTACTTATATTACCACATAAAAAAAGGCTGTGCTCCTGGTACAATAGTTGATTCAACACTGAAGAGATGTTTACCAGGCTGTTTAATTCGCTTGACCGACCCTACACGCTGGTAAATTCTAATTTTAGAACTGGAAATTCCTTGCGCATCTTGACGTAGAGTTCTAAAAATACATTGACATGTTCATGACGCCATCTTCCTCAGAATGAAATTATTGTTTGGGGCCATCACCGTTTCAAGAGCACAAGCATGACAACTCTGCGTCCGGATTTTATGAAGTCATTCTTAAACTTTGGGATATGGACCATTATTTTCGAGCACCATCAAAAATATTTTTTTACATCATTGGTTTTATGAATCTTACTTAACAGTATAAGACCTTGTGTTTTTGTGTGTGTGTGTGTGTGTGTTCCCCAGGAGGAGGAGGGGTAGGGCGCGGTGGAGGTGTAGGGCGCAAAATACACTGTAATGAATGGAGCACCTTAGACTAATTAACTCGGGGGAGGGGGATCAGCCCCCCCCCCACATTTACATAGGACACATGCGGGGGGGAGGGGGGATCAGCCCACCACATTTACATAGGACACATGCGGGGGGGAGGGGGATCAGCCCCCCACATTTACATAGGACACATGCGGGGGGGAGGGGGATCAGCCCCCCCCACATTTACATAGGACACATGCGGGGGGATCAGCCCCCCCACATTTACATAGGACACATGCGGGGGGGAGGGGGGATCAGCCCCCCCACATTTACATAGGACACATGCGGTTTTAAGTTTAACGCTAAATTTTGATTACGGTTCTTTTATAGCATGAAATCTGAATTTTAACAACTTTCAATCCACAACAATTAATGTTACTTAATTAGCCATCAAGACGGCAAATGGTATTTTTCAACGCAAACCCCCCCCCCCCTCCCCCCCCAACCCTACACAACTCCATCTTTCTTTATGGCTAACATAAAATAATAATAAAGTCGTAAAATAAAAGAGGAAATAATTTATTAAAATTCTAGGGCAAAACTATAAATAAAAACAAAGGAGCATAATTCATGAAAGACAACTCAACACACAGAAATGAGATCGATAGGGGAGACAATTCTTTTCAATCATCCACAACTCACAAATCAAAGGGGCCATACAAAATTTGACAATAGCAAAATGAATTAAATGATTATTTATGGAGGAAACATTGTCTTTCTTTTTCTAAAGCAGAAATCTACATTTTATGGAATACATAAAGATCTGACTCTATCAATGCTCTGATTTGTTCAGATATATATTTACTTGATAAGAACATCTACTGAAAGCAGTTTTTAAAATTCATTCATTTTTCCATCCACCAGCTAAAATATGCCATCCTATATTTCCACAAATAGAATGCTTACAAAGTGTACTTGATTGCATTTACAAATTCTACTTTAAAGTATCTATATTAAAATTCTACTTTTAACCATCTATATTAATATTCTATTTTTAACTAATTTATATTAAATTCAAATTTTTTAAAGTATCTATAGTAAAATTCTACTTTTAACTACTGGCATCTATAATATAGCTTGAGTTAGTGAAAAAAATCACCAGACAAAGACTTGTTCATGGATTCCCAGATTTAGACATCCTAACTTTTAGAACATTTAGTTGGGATTCTACCAAATAAATTTGACACAGAGATACACACATCTTCCACATTTGAACTCTATTCAAATCTAAATACATTATCAAATATGGCACTCAAGGAAATGATCTGGTCAAAGATTTAAAAAAAAAGAAGTACCATTATGTAGCATCCTATCATAAATGTTTTACAGTAATATTAAAAATTTAGTGACTAATGGCCATAATGCCTTATAGTATAAAAGGTGTGATAACAATCTCATATAGTTGAAAATAGACAGAATGTTGCAGGCACTTAACAAGTGTTGTTAAGAAACTATAATTTACTTTTTGACCAGAGCGAAAATGGTCTATGACAACAACAGTCCTATTTTCAGTCAGTAAAAATAGCAGGCGACACATGTTTTGTCACTTAATAGTGTTATAACAGTATTCACAGATATTTTAACTTTGTATGCCAACAGGTGACATAGATGTTCTTGTTTTGAAAATATTTAAAACTGAAAATGATCTAGCAATATAAGTTGCATAATTAAATTTTCTCACTTGAGTTCTCTGCAGACCTTACTAATAATCTCTTGATGGATGCAACAAATTAAATATCAAACAGAAAAAAAATTCAAGCACACATTCACGTCAGCATCACATTCAGAAGTAGCATTACATTCACATTAGCATCACTTTCACATTAGCTTTACATTGACATTAGCATCACATTCACATTAGCATTAAATTCACATTAGCATTAAATTCACATTAGCATTAAATTCACATTAGCATTACATTCACATTAGCCTCTCAATCACCATTAACATCACTTTAGCACCTTGTCTATGGAGAGTATATGGGTAAACTCAACACAACATTATTTCAAGAAGTGTGACAACAGATACACTCTCTGGTTGTGTAAGTATGAAAAATAAAATGCCATACTTTGAGTGCAATAAAATAAGCCTAATGATTTAAAAGCTTTGGCCCATCTCATTATCTCCACACTGAATGACAATTCAGCTTTAAAAATATTGTTTTTTCCCCTTCAAAATGACACTGACCGCAATGACTTCATTATTGTGGCTCATTAAAAAGTAGATGGCATAAAATTCCCCCATTACTATTACCAGACGAGGTAATATTCCTAAAGATTTTATTAACTTAAACTACTGAGAGTCACTAAGAAATTACATCTTTTTCTAAAAAGAATCACCCACAAAACAAGTTTTTGTTTTTAAAAATCAACTCAAGCATATTTTTGAATTAAAATTCTGAATTCATTATCTCCCCTAAAGCGTGTTTTTTGGCGTTAAGATCTTGAATTTTTTTATCAAACATATTTTTAAAATTAAAATCCTGAATTGTTATCTCCCCATAAGCATGTTTTTTGGGTTAAAATCCTGAATCTGCAGCATCCAACTCATTATTCAAGACAATAGTTGATAACTTATCCGTAATACACAGTACTCAAGGTGTTTCAATTTCAACCATGAAATCTCAGAAGACGACTGCAACTTTAAAAACTAAACACAATCAAATCAAATTTATAATTATTAATTTCAAATAAATTCACAGGTTCCCAGCCCATGGGTTGAGACCCAATTTAGGATAAAGAAAGATTTTCTGTGGGTTTACTGGCTGCAACAGAAAACTAATTTGATCTAAAAAAAAAAAACATTTCCATTTCAAATCTGGGTCTTGAAGATTGAAAAAATTTCTTTTTTTTAACCTTTTAAGAAAGATTAGTCAATGCTTTTTCATTTTTTTTTTTTTTACATAAACAGGGAAATATTGACACTAACATCAGGTTTGCATTGACGAAAAATCAAGATAGAATTTTGAGCTTGTAAAAAAAAAAGTTTAAATTTCAAAAAAAAAAAACATTTCCATTTCAAATCTGGGTCTTGAAGATTGAAAAAATTTCTTTTTTTTAACCTTTTAAGAAAGATTAGTCAATGCTTTTTCATTTTTTTTTTTTATACATAAACAGGGAAATATTGACACTAACATCAGGTTTGCATTGACGAAAAATCAAGATAGAATTTTGAGCTTGTAAAAAAACAAGTTTCAATTTCATTCATCTTACTGTTTTAGTGTTTTAGTTAAAACTGCATTGAACTGTTTTATACTGAAATATTTTTTCTGTGGTATTATATTATACCTTATTAAAAATCTATTTTAGATGTAACCAACTCATTAGTCACTTTGCTTCAATAATGGGGCTCATGAATCATAAAAAGTGGAGAACCTGTGCAAAAAAACAAAACAAATAAAAAGAGGAAATGTAATAGAAAATCAATTCCAATATATTTGTGCCAGCAGAAATCAAATGTCAAGGTCAGCAACAACACTTAAACCCGTGCCATCACTGCCAAGCACTAGGACAATAAAAGAATAAGCACTCACCTAGAGCATGTTTGTAAAGAGAACACACAACATTGCAGTAAACAAAACAAAAAAAAGTCAATTTAAAAATTAACTAGAAATGACTCAACTGAACCATGACATAATTTCAACAAGTGACAAGAAAAACTGACTCCAGTTGTTTAATTGAAGACATTCACAACATATTTAATGTGACCTACATTATAGTATTGCACAAAACTGACATGAGAGCAGTGATCATATCGGGGGTGAGGGGGGGGATGTAGGAATACTCTAGAGAAGTGCGATAATTTTTTAAGGGGTGGGCGCTTGCAGTGCAAAGTTAGGTAAAATAGTTTGACTTAAATTGTAAAGTTGCACCTAATTTGCCTGTCAGATTAGACAAACTTGAAAGGTGAAGATGCATTTATTTTACCTGCTGATCAGACATGACATACAAAGGCAGATGTCGTAAAATAATTGTTTGGTTAAAAAATCATTAAGAATTCATAAAAATTATTTGAAATTTCAGATCTGAAAATGGAACAGATTGATAAATGCAAACTCATTTGCTCTTTTAATTAATAAAATTCTATAGTCAATGCATGATACTATATAAAGCTGATTAGTGGATTATATTTAAATTTAGCTGAGCAATCTCAGACAATGTCAACAAAATCTTTCAATGTTGCTCAATGTATTAAGCTGAGTTTAAAAAATAAAAAAATAAATTGAATTAAAATGTGATAGTTATTTTAAAAAATGCTCTGATAAAACTGCAACTCAAGCTCAAAAATACTGCAGGAGTATAAAGCTGTATCAAGAAAGTACATGGATAGTAAAATACCGCAGGAGTATAAAATTGTATCAAGAAAGCATATGGATGGTAAGCACGAAATTATATTGGTCGCAGACAAGCATGACTAAAATTAATCAGAAAATTCTATAGAATTGATTACAATACTATATATGCACCTATATTACATAGTTCAATGTTTAAAAATACTTATAGTCCGATCTGTTTAACGAAGACTTTATTATACAGAACACAGACTGTTGAGTATACAGAACTTATA